GCAGCGGTTCGTCCGCAGCCGAGTGCGCAAGCTGACGGCTGACCTTGAGGAGACGAAGGAGTGGGCGTCTGCCCGCGAGATCGCGGCCTTCGAGGCGGTGGACGATTGGACGCTCGTGTGCCGCTGCGCTGAGGAGACATGTCCCCATGGCCCGGCGTGCTCGTACAGGTCAGCCGTGGAGACCATCTTCTCCCGCAACGCCGCTTCTTTCGACGTTCGGGAGCTCGCGGCGTCTCTGCGGGACATTCTGATGGTCGGCCCGAAGAAGACGACGGGGGTGCCCTTCCTGGTGGGGCCGTCGAATTCCGGGAAGAGCACGGTAGTTTACCCTTTCGACGACTTGTTCACTCCGAAACGGGTTCTGCACAAGCCTGCCTTGGGCTCCTCCTTTGGACTCCGGAACCTGGCCAGCGGCACGAAGCGGTTCATCTTCTGGGGCGACTTCCGGCCGGTTGAGTTCGCCCACGAGAAGACCGTCCCCGTCTCTTTGTTCCTGTCTCTGTTCGTCGGCCAGCACACCGAGATCCAGGTTTTCCAGTCCTTCAACGACGGGAACAAGGGCGTCTGCTGGAACCACGGCGCCGTTTTCACGGGCAAGCTGGAGGGCCTCTGGGAGACGACGAATAAGGCGGGTGCGGAGGACATCCGGCACATGCAGAACCGCGCGAGGCAGTTCCCATTCACCTCCGTCTTGTCGGACGGCTCTTTGCAGGACGTACTCTCGTGTGCTCCGTGCATGACCGCGTGGAGCGTCCGGGAGGCGGCAAAGTTCGACGCCGTCGGCGTTTTCCGCCCGGCGCCCGCTGCGCCGGTCGGGGCAGACGCGGGCGTGCCGCCTGTGAGCGGCTTCGACGACCTCATGTCCGACGCGCGCATACCCCGCGCGCAGGCAGACGCCTTGCTGGCGGATGTCCGCGCGATGGGTGCGGTTGCCGTGGACGAGGTGCTCCCCGCGGACTGGGTCCGTCTGAATTCGTGGGCCTTGCTGCTCCCGCTCCAGAAGCGCAGACTTCTTGGGCAAATCGGCTCTCCGGTTTCGCCCTGAGGGGGCGCGCGGGCAGCGCCGGGCCAGCGCTCCGCCCCGCGTCTTTTGCATGCTCGCGAGGGTGCGCGTGCGGTTACCGCTGGCGAAGTCCAGTTGGGTTGCGCACGCCCGCCTCTCAGCTTTTGCGCTTCCGGAAGCACGCGCGTGCGGGCACCGCTGACCAAGTCCACTTGGTTTGCGAGCGCCCGCCTGTCAGCTTTTGCACCCCCGTGAGCACGCGCGCGCGGGCGCCGCTGGCGCCGCCCAGCGGGGTTACGCGTGCGCGCGCGTGGCACCCGGCAGCGCATCCATCGTCTTTGCGCGGAAATGACGCCTCGAAGGGGTAGAAGTGCGAGACGAGGTAGACAGGGCAGAGTGGACGGAAGCTGCAGGGGAGAGTAAAGAGGGCCATCAGCGTTGCGTCGCCACCGGACGATTCCGCACGGGTAGCGTCGCGTGAATAGCCTCGGATTGCGTGGCGGCGTGAATGCATGCATGCACGTACGTGCATGCATGGGTGTATGCACACATAGGGGAAAGGCAGATGGATGTGCAAATAGGGTGTACATACACACTTATGTATACACGTGTATATATACATATATATATATACACACAACATATAAATATGGGAATATACCTATATATACATACACATGTGTGTGAATGTACAGCGCTGTGTCACTATAAGACGCTCGTGGGGGGTACCGCCGTTTGCGAAATAAGCGCCCATCTTAGGGATCGAAAACAAGACGTCGAAGCACGCCCCCTTTCCCCCGTATTTCAAGGTTGACGGGGAGGGCTGGGCAGTCCAACATAAGTGGGCGTTTATTTCGCAACGCTTCGCACTCCCCTTCGGCGTGTTCGGTGGCCAACATTGAAATGCGGGGCGCGGGGCAGGGATCTCGGTACTTCCACACGTGGGCGTTTATTTCGCAAACGGCGGACTCATTTGCCATGGCATCTTCGGCTACGGGCATCTGCATGGGTTGCGTTGCAAGACTGGCCCCCTCCTTGCTGCCCAACGGGTTGCGCTCTCCCGTTGGCGCCCTGCAAGGACATTGAGGCTGCCCGAAGCCGCCCGTCTTGAGGGCGGCGTCAAGAGCGAGGCCAGACTATGAACGCCGCCGCGTGCTCCGGTCACATCGACAAGCCTTCCGTTCACCTGGCGCATCTGTTTCGGCTCAGTCGTCACCGCAGCAACGGCCTCGCCCCGCCCCGAGGCCATCTGACCCCTTTTTCGGTCGCGGGCCCAGATGGCGCCCCACCTCAGCACGAGGGAGCTCGACCGCTGCTTCTCGCTCTACGCCGCTGGGAAGACCCCGGTGGAGATACGCGACCTCGTTAGTCGGACCCGTGAGTCCCTCGACGAAACTGGGCCGGATTTGACGACCGTCCGCCGGGCCCTCCGGGGCGCCACGCACAGGCGTGGCCCAGCGGAGACTCGCGGCCGCAAGCTCAAGCTCACGGCCGTCAAGCTCCGCGCCTTGAACAACGCGCGGGTTCGTTTGATTCGGGCGGCCAAGGACGAGGCCGAGGTTCACCTCAAGGACGTGATGAAGGCCGCGCGGGTCTCCGACGTCCACAAGGGCACGGCCTCCAGGCACTTCAAGCGCCTCGGGGTCACCTGGCGCGCTCCCTGCGCGGAGCCGCTCCGCGGCTCCGCGGAGGCGGAGGAGCGCGTGGCCGCGTGTTCGGGGTGGACGCGGCTCCCGGGCAACTATTTCACGCACCAGGTCGATGCCATCATCGACAATAAGGTGTTCCCCATCCCCATGACCAAGCGGGCGAATACGCACGCAAAGAAGAGTCGCGTTCGCGGCCGCCTTCGCACCAAGGCAGAGGGGGCGCGACTCTCGGTCCCGAGTGCGATCCCAGGGGCTGGGGGCGGGGGCCGCCGGGCCGCCGAAGTCGAGATGCCGATTCCGCCCCCGATCGTTGCCCCGATCCATGTCTGCGATCCAAGTCTGATCGGGTTTGATCGGCCCCGTCCAGGCGATCGGACATGTTTTCTTGGCGTCGTTTCTTTCTGGTATGAGGGTTCTTATTGGCGTAGTTTCTTTCGGATGCGAGGTGCGGGGGGGGGCCGGGCGGGGGGCCGGCTGGCCGGGCCCTCCCCCGAGGTCCTCAAGCCTTTCACGAAGCCGAAGGGGAACCAGAACAGGGTGAACCCAGGCGCCAAGGTTCACGTGGCCGCAGCCATCGTGAACAACAAGGTCCGCGTCTGGCACTACCTGCCCACCCTGTGGTGCGCCGACGCAGCCTGCGATTTCTACGCGGGCGTCCTCGCTCCCGCGCTTCGCCGTTGCCGGAAGGGGCACCGCGCCTTCCGCATCCTGGGGGATAACGACCCCACGGGGTACAAGAGCAAGAAGGCCGTTGACTGCAACCGGCCCCCTTAGTTGGCGCGCCACCGCGGCGGCCGCGAGTTCGAGTCGGGCCCCGTCTGGCGATCGCCCCGCCAGTCGGCGCCGGCTCTTGATCGCCCGCCGCTCGCGCCCCGGTCGACCCCGCTCGGTCGCTCTCAGGCGGGGTCTCAAGATCACCCCCATCAAGTTCCCCAAGTATTCCCCGGACTTGAACCCCCTCGACTACTTCCTCTGGGCGGAGGTCAACCGGCGAATGGCAGAGCAGAGCGCGCCGGCCAACGAGTCTCAGACCGCTTGCGCCTCAGGCGCGTCGCCACGGGCATCCCGAAGAGCGTCATCAGGGCAGCCGTGGCTAAGATGAAGACGAAGGCGGCGGAGGTCGTCGTGGCCGAGGGAGGCAGGATCCCGAGCGATCGAGCCTGCGGCCCGGGAGCGTTGGCGCTGATCAGCCGAGTCGGCGGCACGGTCTTTGCCACGACGCAATTTTTCCAGCCGCGGCCGGGGAGCCAGCCGAATCGGCGGCTCGGCCTCTGCCAGAGCGGATTTTTCCTCAGTGACCGCCGAGAGATTTCAGAATTCCTGCCGCAGCGCATGCACCGAGAAACGTGTCGTGGATCCGTAGACTTGAAAATCGTAGCCGTGCTGCTACTGTTCCATCCCTGCCTTTCGGGAGGCGCTCGGCTGCCCATGGCGAGGGCCCTGCGGTGCTCGCGACTCCTGCGCTTTACGCGCGTTTGCTTTAGTGCAGGCCCGCGCGGGACACAGTCTGCGCATCATTGCGGCTTCATGTCGTTTGCACGTGTGTCCAGAACATCGTGCAACGCGTTGCCCGCGCGTCTGATGGCGCACGTCCAGGACCGCGGGACGAAGACCATGCAGCGGTTCGTCCGCAGCCGAGTGCGCAAGCTGACGGCGGACCTTGAGGAGACGAAGGAGTGGGCGTCTGCCCGCGAGAACGCGGCCTTCGAGGCGGTGGACGATTGGACGCTCGTGTGCCGCTGCGCTGAGGAGACATGTCCCCATGGCCCGGCGTGCTCGTACAGGTCAGCCGTGGAGACCATCTTCTCCCGCAGCGCCGCTTCTTTCGACGTTCGGGAGCTCGCGGCGCCCCTGCGGGACATTCTGATGGTCGGCCCGAAGAAGACGACGAGGGTGCCCTTCCTGGTGGGGCCGTCGAATTCCGGGAAGAGCACGGTGGTTTACCCTTTCGACGACTTGTTCACTCCGAAACGGGTTCTGCACAAGCCTGCCTTGGGCTCCTCCTTAGGACTCCGGAACCTGGCCAGCGGCACGAAGCGGTTCATCTTCTGGGACGACTTCCGGCCGGTTGAGTTCGCCCACGAGAAGACCGTCCCCGTCTCTTTGTTCCTGTCTCTGTTCGTCGGCCAGCGCACCGAGATCCAGGTTTCCCAGTCCTTCAACGACGGGAACTAGGACGTATGCTGGAACCACGGCGCCGTTTTCACGGGCAAGCTGGAGGGCCTCTGGGGGACGACGAATAAGGTGGGTGCGGAGGACATCCGGCACATGCAGAACCGCGCGAGGCATTTCCCATTCTCCTCTTGTCGGACGGCTCTTTGCAGGACGTACTCTCGTGTGCTCCGTGCATGACCGCGTGGATCGTCCGGGAGGCGGCAAAGTTCGACGCCGTCGGCGTTTTCCGCCCGGCGCCCGCTGCGCCGGTCGGGGCAGACGCGGGCGTGCCGCCTGTGAGCGGCTTCGACGACCTCATGTCCGACGCGCGCATACCCCGCGCGCAGGCAGACGCCTTGCTGGCGGATGTCCGCGCGATGGGTGCGGTTGCCGTGGACGAGGTGCTCCCCGCGGACTGGGTCCGTCTGAATTCGTGGGCCTTGCTGCAGGCCCGCGCGGGACACAGCCTGCGTATCATTGCGGCTTCATGTCGTTTGCACGTGTGTCCAGAACATCGTGCAACGCGTTGCCCGCGCGTCTGGCCCGCGGCGGAGGAGGCGGCAGGGCGCGTTGCCCGGCGCTTGCAACGTGGAGCTCGCGGCCGGTGCTGCGACCAACAGCGCTTGCCTTCGCGACTTGTTGGCGGTGCGTTATGCCACTTCTACCAAACACGGAGGAAAGCCAATTCCGTCGGATTGAAGGTCCGGGGGCGGGGAGGGCAGGCGACCGCTTATCCCAGGGGCCGCCTTAGAGCACAACTAGAGCACACTAGAGCACAACCTAGAGCACAACCTAGAGCACAACCTAGAGCACAACTCATTTCATGGTAGTCTGGCACGCATTCGCGTTCGAAAATAAAGAAAGTATTGATTCTTTTTTGATTTGGGAAGGTTGAGTGCCATTTTTTTATGAAAATAAATACCTTCATGAGTTGTGCTCTAGATTTTGCTCTAGGTTGTGCTCTAGGTTGTGCTCTAGGTTGTGCTCTAGGTTGTGCTCTAGTTGGGGCCGCCAGGCCAGACGGATCGTAGACGGGTGGCGGGCGCGGGGCGCGCGTCGTGTCGCAGGTCGCGAGCGCGGGTCGTGGGCGAAGTTCGCCGTGTTCGGGTCGCTGGTCGGAATGGCACCCTCGCCGTCGCGCTGGTCACAGCGTGTTCCTCTCTCCTCCCTATCGGAGAGGCTTGCGCACGCCCGCCCAGGCGCCGAGGCTTTTGCCGGGCCAGACCGAACCGCGCCAGGACCCGCGCCCATGTCGACGGCGGACGCCCCAGGCGTACACTCCGAGAAAATATGTTTGGACATGGATCCCTCGCTCGTGTCGGAGCCGTTTTCTTTGTGGGCCCGTTACGTACCACAGGGTTGCACGTGGACGTCGGAATGGTGCTCTCGCCGTCGCGCTGGCCACGCTTCCCCCCCCCCCGTCGTTTTTTTGATTACGTGTCCGGACCGGAAGGCCTACGGCCAGGCACTGACCTTCCCCAGCCCCATTCACGGCGCGCTACCTTCCCAAGCTTGGTAAGCACACACTCCCGAAATTTTCCGCAGAGATTTAATTGCTCTTGTGGATTGACGGAGTAGTCCCTGCTGCCCGAGGGAGGGTTCGGAGTCTGTGAGGGGTATTGAATTGGAGCAGGGAAGGACACGTAAACGAAACTTTTTTGTTTTTTGTTGTTTTCGGACAGCAAGGGTAGATTGCAACGGGGGACCCCCGGGGGGCCAGGGCAGCCGGGTGGAAAATTCGGCGTCCTAAAAAGGGGAAATTATAGCCTTTTTTGATTTTTCTTCTCAGGACTCTGCGCGCCCCCTTGTAAGGATTGCCCGGCGCGGAGGCGAGAGCACCGATTCCTGGCAATGTGGGCAGCCGCTTGCGCTCCCTCCCTGCCTCCCGCTCCCCCTCCATTGGCATTGCCATTATCATCGCCCTTCAGACACCCGCAGGGTCGCGTCGCCCTGTCGCGAGGCGGCCGCTTGACCGGGAGTGCACCTGGAGAGCACCTGGAGAGTCCGATTATGTGCAATGTTATTGGTTTTGTACGATTATAAATCTTCGTATGTTCCGGCGCCCCACTGAATTTGGTGCGGATTTCGTGAGCTCGATTCTGAGATCGATCGTGGATTTTGAGATATATCTTAAGGTCGACCGTGGAATCGACAGTGAGATCGATAGTGATATTGATCGTGAGATCGATCCTGAAATCGACAGCGAAGCTATTGGAGACCTCCCAGAACCTCCCAAACCCTCCAGAACCCTCCCATACCTCCTAACCCCTCCGCGCTCCCCCTAAAACCTCCACAACTCCCCATACATCCGAAACCCTCGCACTGCTCCCAAATCCTCCGGAACCCTCCCACCCCCCCTAAATTTTCGGAAGACTTCCCAAAACCTCCAGAACCCTCCAGAACCCTCCCATACCTCCTAACCCCTCCGCACTCCCCCCACCCCCCACCCCCATGCATCCGAAACCCTCGCACTGCTCCCAAATCCTCCGGAACCCCCCCACCCCCCCTAAATTTTCAGAAAACTTCCCAAAACCTCCAGAACCCTCCAGAACCCTCCCATACCTCCTCCCCCCACCCCCCACCCCCATGCATCCGAAACCCTCGTTCGCACTGCTCCCAAATCCTCCGGAACCCTCCCACACCCCCTAAACTTTTGGAAGACTTCCCAAAACCTCCAAACCCTCCAGAACCCCTCCCTACCTTCTAACCCCTCCGCGCTCCCCCCAAAACCTCCACAACTCCCCATACATCCGAAACCCTCGCACTGCTCCCAAATCCTCGGGAACCCTCCCAAACTCTTTCTACTTTCGGAGGACTTCCCAAAACCTCCAGAACCCTCCAGAACCCCCAAGTCCTCTCCACCCCTCCGCCCCCTGCTTCCAGAGCCCTCGGAGCGCGGTGGATTCAGGGAGAGGGAATCGGCCTCGCTTGCACTCTTGGGACAAGTTGCATCGGTTTTCCCGCTCCGACCCAGACAGGTTTTGGGGCAATCTTGGGCCATTTGGCAGTTCCAGCGCCTGTTTGGGTTGTCTTGGGAATGTCGTCGATGTCCAGTTGGTGGGCATACCTTTCCCTCCCCCTCCCTCCCCCTTCCTCTGACCAGTCGGTGCTCGCAGGCACGTTGAGACTCACGTCCTGTGGTGCTCTGTAGCTGTTGCGGTGCTCTGAGGTCCTTTCGAGTTCTGTGGTGCTCTGAGGCTGTTGCGGTGATCACCAGCCTTGTAGCGCCCACAGGCGCTTCGGCTCAAGCCGTCCTTACTTAATGGGCTCTGAGGTGCTCTCAGGCTTTGAAGTGGTGCTCACAGCCGTCCTGGTGCTCATGGCCATTGGTGCTTAAAACCACTGCAGCTGCCTTGTGGCTCAAGTCTTATAGGGAGAACCGTACGGACCTTGGCACCTGTCACTGGGAGTACCGTGCACAGTCACTGCAATGCTCACAGACCCCTCTACGCCGAGGCGCCGCTTGCGGCAGAAGACGGACACGGGGCACGTGGTGCCGTCTCCCCCAGTCCCGTCCGCAGGCGTGGACGCCGATGCCGTCGAAACCAAAGCCATCCGGGACGCCTTGAAGGCCGTCTTAGTAGGCAAGGACTTGAAACGCATTTCGTTGCGTGAGCGTCGCCGCCAGGTCGCTTTGAAACTCGGTTTGCAAGAACATGCTTTGGACCAACGCAAGCACGAGTTCAAGAGCCTGACAACCGACGTCGTTTCGGGAACGCAGCCCGACCAGGACGCCGCGTCGCCTCTGGAGACCGTGTTGGCTGAGGCCGAGAAGCTGGACTCGTTGCAGTGGGTCTACTTGGTGACCATATCGCGCGTCCTGGACGCGACCCTTCCCGACGGCCGCCAGCACCGCGATCTTGGCACGATGAGCCGGGAGGACATCGGAAAAGCAGTGGACGACGCATTCAACAATCCGATTCCGACTGGGTCCGCGGGCGGCCGCCCTAGGAAGGAACCGGACGGCCAAGCGCTCGTGTCCATGGCGGTGGTGTTCCAGGAGAAGCACAAAGACGGCGCGATCCATTTCCACGTTGCTGTGAAGCTGACTAGGTCGGGCCGTTTCCAGCAGGCCAAGCGCACTCTGCGTGAGCGCCATTTGTTGCCGAGCCATTTCTCTGGTTCCCACCAGCGAATGTGGAGCGCCGTGAGGTACGGGTATATGGAGACCCCAGCCAAACCAGATGTCGACGACGCCCCGTGGGTGTGGCAGCCAGACTGGGCCAGGTTCGCGCGCGAGAACGACGCCATCGACCTCTTCGAGATGTCGCAGGAAGAGAAAAAAAGACGAAACAACAAAAGCCATGCATGGCAAACAAAGAAAGAAAGAAAGACCAAACCATACAAAAAAAAAAAAAAAACAAAAAGAACACATAAAAACGACAACTAAAAAAGGCGTGTGGGTGAAGCGCCGGGAGGCCACGGACAAGGCGGCCGGGGCGATGGGCGCGAAGACGACGTTCGACCTCGTAGACTTGACCTCGACCATCATCGCCAAGCACTTGTGGACGAAGGGCAGCCTGATGGCGTACGTCCAGGACCGCGGGACGAAGGCCATGCAGCGGTTCGTCCGCAGCCGAGTGCGCAAGCTGACGGCTGACCTTGAGGAGACGAAGGAGTGGGCGTCTGCCCGCGAGATCGCGGCCTTCGAGGCGGTGGACGATTGGACGCTCGTGTGCCGCTGCGCTGAGGAGACATGTCCCCATGGCCCGGCGTGCTCGTACAACAACAAAAGACAAACAAAAAACAAGCAAACAACAATACAAACAAAAACAAAACAAACACCACAAAAAACCAAAAAAAAAACACAAGGTCCACAACCGGCCGTACCGTGGAGACCATCTTCTCCCGCAACGCCGCTTCTTTCGACGTTCGGGAGCTCGCGGCGTCTCTGCGGGACATTCTGATGGTCGGCCCGAAGAAGACGACGGGGGTGCCCTTCCTGGTGGGGCCGTCGAATTCCGGGAAGAGCACGGTAGTTTACCCTTTCGACGACTTGTTCACTCCGAAACGGGTTCTGCACAAGCCTACCTTGGGCTCCTCCTTTGGACTCCGGAACCTGGCCAGCGGCACGAAGCGGTTCATCTTCTGGGGCGACTTCCGGCCGGTTGAGTTCGCCCACGAGAAGACCGTCCCCGTCTCTTTGTTCCTGTCTCTGTTCGTCGGCCAGCACACCGAGATCCAGGTTTCCCAGTCCTTCAACGACGGGAACAAGGGCGTCTGCTGGAACCACGGCGCCGTTTTCACGGGCAAGCTGGAGGGCCTCTGGGAGACGACGAATAAGGTGGGTGCGGAGGACATCCGGCACATGCAGAACCGCGCGAGGCAGTTCCCATTCACCTCCGTCTTGTCGGACGGCTCCTTGAAGGACGTACTCTCGTGTGCTCCGTGCACGACCGCGTGGATCGTCCGGGAGGCGGCAAAGTTCGACGCCGTCGGCGTTTTCCGCCCGGCGCCCGCTGCGCCGGTCGGGGCAGACGCGGGCGCGCCGCCTGTGAGCGGCTTCGACGACCTCATGTCCGACGCGCGCATACCCCGCGCGCAGGCAGACGCCTTGCTGGCGGATGTCCGCGCGATGGGTGCGGTTGCCGTGGACGAGGTGCTCCCCGCGGACTGGGCCCGTCTGAATTCGTGGGCCTTGCTGCCCCGCTCCAGAAGCGCAGACGTCTTGGGCAAATCGGCTCTCCGGTTTCGCCCCGAGGGGGCGCGCGGGCAGCGCCGGGGGCTTCCCCCCAGCGCTCCGCCCCACGTCTTTTGCATGCTCGCGAGGGTGCGCGTGCGGTTACCGCTGGCGAAGTCCAGTTGGGTTGCGCACGCCCGCCTCTCAGCTTTTGCGCTTCCGGAAGCACGCGCGTGCGGGCGCCGCTGACCAAGCCCACTTGGTTTGCGAGCGCCCGCCTGTCAGCTTTTGCACCCCCGTGAGCACGCGCGCGCGGGCGCCGCTGGCGCCGCCCAGTGGGGTTACGCGTGCGCGCGCGTGGCACCCGGCAGCGCATCCATCGTCTTTGCGCGGAAATGACGCCTCGAAGGGGTAGAAGTGCGAGACGAGGTAGACAGGGCAGAGTGGACGGAAGCTGCAGGGGAGAGTAAGGGGGGCCATCAGCGTTGTGTCGCCACCGGACGATTCCGCACGGGTAGCGTCGCGTGAATAGCCTCGGATTGCGTGGCGGCGTGAATGCATGCATGCACGTGCGTGCATGCATGGGTGTATGCACACATAGGGGAAAAGGCATATGTATGTGCAAATAGGGTGTACATACACACTTATGTATACACGTGTATATATATACATATATATATACACATACAGCATATAAATATGGGAATATACATATATATATATATATATATATATATGTGAATGTACAGCGCTGTGTCACTATAAGACGCTCGTGGGGGGTACCGCCGTTTGCGAAATAAGCGCCCATCTTAGGGATCGAAAACAAGACGACGAAGCACGCCCCCTTTCCCCCGTATTTCAAGGTTGACGGGGAGGGCTGGGCAGTCCAACATAAGTGGGCGTTTATTTCGCAACGCTTCGCACTCCCCTTCGGCGTGTTCGGTGGCCAACATTGAAATGCGGGGCGCGGGGCGGGGATCTCGGTACTTCCACACGTGGGCGTTTATTTCGCAAACGGCGGACTCATTTGCCATGGCATCTTCGGCTACGGGCATCTGCATGGGTTGCGTTGCAAGACTGGCCCCCTCCTTGCTGCCCAACGGGTTGCGCTCTCCCGTTGGCGCCCTGCAAGGACTTTGAGGCTGCCCGAAGCCGCCCGTCTTGAGGGCGGCGTCAAGAGCGAGGCCAGACTATGAACGCCGCCGCGTGCTCCGGTCACATCGACAAGCCTTCCGTTCACCTGGCGCAGCTGTTTCGGCTCAGTCGTCACCGCAGCAACGGCCTCGCCCCGCCCCGAGGCCATCTGACCCCTTTTTCGGTCGCGGGCCCAGATGGCGCCCCACCTCAGCAAGAGGGAGCTCGACCGCTGCTTCTCGCTCTACGCCGCTGGGAAGATCCCGGTGGAGATACGCGACCTCGTTAGTCGGACCCGTGAGTCCCTCGACGAAACTGGGCCGGATTTGACGACCGTCCGCCGGGCCCTCCGGGGCGCCGCGCACAGGCGTGGCCCAGCGGAGACTCGCGGCCGCAAGCCCAAACTCACGGCCGTCAAGCTCCGCGCCTTGAACAACGCGCGGGTTCGTTTGATTCGGGCGGCCAAGGGCGAGGCCGAGGTTCACCTCAAGGACGTGATGATGGCCGCGCGGGTCTCCGACGCCCACAAGGGCACGGCCTCCAGGCACTCCAAGCGCCTCGGGGTCACCTGGCGCGCTCCCCGCGCGGAGCCGCTCCGCGGCTCCGCGGAGGCGGAGGAGCGCGTGGCCGCGCGTTCGGGGTGGAAGCGGCTCCCGGGCAACTATTTCACGCACCAGGTCGATGCCATCATCGACAATAAAGTGTTCCCCAGCCCCATGACCAAGCGGGCGAAGACGCACGCAAAGAAGAGTCGCGTTCGCGGCCACCTTCGCACCAAGGCAGAGGGGGCGCGACTCTCGGTCCCGAGTGCGATCCCAGGGGCTGGGGGCGGGGGCCGCCGGGCCGCCGAAGTCGAGATGCCGATTCCGCCCCCGAGCGTTGCCCCGATCCATGTCTGCGATCCAAGTCTGATCGGGTCTGATCGGCCCCGTCCAGGCGATCGGACATGTTTTTCTTGGCGTCGTTTCTTTCTGGTATGAGGGTTCTTATTGGCGTAGTTTCTTTCGGATGCGAGGGGCGGGGGGGGGGGGCCGGGCGGGGGGCCGGCTGGCCGGGCCCTCCCCCGAGGTCCTCAAGCCTTTCACGAAGCCGAAGGGGAACCGGAACAGGGTGAATCCAGGCGCCAAGGTTCACGTGGCCGCAGCCATCGTGAACAACAAGGTCCGCGTCTGGCACTACCTGCCCACCCTGTGGTGCGCCGACGCAGCCTGCGATTTCTACGCGGGCGTCCTCGCTCCCGCGCTTCGCCGTTGCCGGAAGGGGCACCGCGCCTTCCGCATCCTGGGGGATAACGACCCCACGGGGTACAAGAGCAAGAAGGCCGTTGACTGCAACCGGCCCCCTTAGTTGGCGCGCCACCGCGGCGGCCGCGAGTTCGAGTCGGGCCCCGTCTGGCGATCGCCCCGCCAGTCGGCGCCGGCTCTTGATCGCCCGCCGCTCGCGCCCCGGTCGACCCCGCTCGGTCGCTCTCAGGCGGGGTCTCAAGATCACCCCCATCAAGTTCCCCAAGTATTCCCCGGACTTGAACCCCCTCGACTACTTCCTCTGGGCGGAGGTCAACCGGCGAATGGCAGAGCAGAGCGCGCCGGCCAACGAGTCTCAGACCGCTTGCGCCTCAGGCGCGTCGCCACGGGCATCCCGAAGAGCGTCATCAGGGCAGCCGTGGCTAAGATGAAGACGAAGGCGGCGGAGGTCGTCGTGGCCGAGGGAGGCAGGATCCCGAGCGATCGAGCCTGCGGCCCGGGAGCGTTGGCGCTGATCAGCCGAGTCGGCGGCACGGTCTTTGCCACGACGCAATTTTTCCAGCCGCGGCCGGGGAGCCAGCCGAATCGGCGGCTCGGCCTCTGCCAGAGCGGATTTTTCCTCAGTGACCGCCGAGAGATTTCAGAATTCCTGCCGCAGCGCATGCACCGAGAAACGTGTCGTGGATCCGTAGACTTGAAAATCGTAGCCGTGCTGCTACTGTTCCATCCCTGCCTTTCGGGAGGCGCTCGGCTGCCCATGGCGAGGGCCCTGCGGTGCTCGCGACTCCTGCGCTTTACGCGCGTTTGCTTTAGTGCAGGCCCGCGCGGGACACAGTCTGCGCATCATTGCGGCTTCATGTCGTTTGCACGTGTGTCCAGAACATCGTGCAACGCGTTGCCCGCGCGTCTGATGGCGCACGTCCAGGACCGCGGGACGAAGACCATGCAGCGGTTCGTCCGCAGCCGAGTGCGCAAGCTGACGGCGGACCTTGAGGAGACGAAGGAGTGGGCGTCTGCCCGCGAGAACGCGGCCTTCGAGGCGGTGGACGATTGGACGCTCGTGTGCCGCTGCGCTGAGGAGACATGTCCCCATGGCCCGGCGTGCTCGTACAGGTCAGCCGTGGAGACCATCTTCTCCCGCAGCGCCGCTTCTTTCGACGTTCGGGAGCTCGCGGCGCCCCTGCGGGACATTCTGATGGTCGGCCCGAAGAAGACGACGAGGGTGCCCTTCCTGGTGGGGCCGTCGAATTCCGGGAAGAGCACGGTGGTTTACCCTTTCGACGACTTGTTCACTCCGAAACGGGTTCTGCACAAGCCTGCCTTGGGCTCCTCCTTTGGACTCCGGAACCTGGCCAGCGGCACGAAGCGGTTCATCTTCTGGGACGACTTCCGGCCGGTTGAGTTCGCCCGCGAGAAGACCGTCCCCGTCTCTTTGTTCCTGTCTCTGTTCGTCGGCCAGCGCAACCGATATCCATATTTTTTTTTTTTTATTTTTTTGTTGAGTTCGCCCACGAGAAGACCGTCCCCGTCTCTTTGTTCCTGTCTCTGTTCGTCGGCCAGCGCACCGAGATCCAGGTTTCCCAGTCCTTCAACGACGGGAACAAGGACGTATGCTGGAACCACGGCGCCGTTTTCACGGGCAAGCTGGAGGGCCTCTGGGGGACGACGAATAAGGTGGGTGCGGAGGACATCCGGCACATGCAGAACCGCGCGAGGCATTTCCCATTCTCCTCCGTCTTGTCGGACGGCTCTTTGCAGGACGTACTCTCGTGTGCTCCGTGCATGACCGCGTGGATCGTCCGGGAGGCGGCAAAGTTCGACGCCGTCGGCGTTTTCCGCCCGGCGCCCGCTGCGCCGGTCGGGGCAGACGCGGGCGTGCCGCCAGTGAGCGGCTTCGACGACCTCATGTCCGACGCGCGCATACCCCGCGCGCAGGCAGACGCCTTGCTGGCGGATGTCCGCGCGATGGGTGCGGTTGCCGTGGACGAGGTGCTCCCCGCGGACTGGGTCCGTCTGAATTCGTGGGCCTTGCTGCAGGCCCGCGCGGGACGCAGCCTGCGTATCATTGCGGCTTCATGTCGTTTGCACGTGTGTCCAGAACATCGTGCAACGCGTTGCCCGCGCGTCTGGCCCGCGGCGGAGGAGGCGGCAGGGCGCGTTGCCCGGCGCTTGCAAGGTGGAGCTCGCGGCCGGTGCTGCGACCAACAGCGCTTGCCTTCGTGACTTGTTGGCGGTGCGTTATGCCACTTCTACCAAACACGGAGGAAAGCCAATTCCGTCGGATTGAAGGTCCGGGGGCGGGGAGGGCAGGCGACCGCTTATCCCAGGGGCCGCCTTAGAGCACAACTAGAGCACAACTAGAGCACAACCTAGAGCACAACCTAGAGCACAACTCATTTCATGGTAGTCTGGCACGCATTCGCGTTCGAAAATAAAGAAAGTATTGATTCTTTTTTGATTCGGGAAGGTTGAATGCCATTTTTTCTATGAAAAAATATATACCTTCATGAGTTGTGCTCTAGGTTGTGCTCTAGGTTGTGCTCTAGGTTGTGCTCTAGGTTGTGCTCTAGTTGGGGCCGCCAGGCCAGACGGATCGTAGACGGGTGGCGGGCGCGGGGCGCGCGTCGTGTCGCAGGTCGCGAGCGCGGGTCGTGGGCGAAGTTCGCTGTGTTCGGGTCGCCGGTCGGAATGGCGCCCTCGCCGTCGCGCTGGTCACAGCGCGTTCCTCTCTCCTCCCTATCGGGGAGGCTTGCGCACGCCCGCCCAGGCGCCGAGGCTTTTGCCGGGCCAGACCGAGACGCGCCAGGACCCGCGCCCATGTCGACGGCGGACGCCCCAGGCGTACACTCCGAGAAAATATGTTTGGACATGGATTCCTCGCTCGTGTCGGAGCCGTTTTCTTTGTGGGCCCGTTACGTACCGCAGGGTTGCACGTGGACGTCGGAATGGTGCTCTCGCCGTCGCGCTGGCCACGCTTTCCCCCCCCCCGTCGTTTTTTCGATTACGTGTCCGGACCGGAAGGCCTACGGCCAGGCACTGACCTTCCCCAGCCCCATTCACGGCGCGCTACCTTCCCAAGCTTGGTAAGCACACACTCCCGAGATTTTCCGCTGAGATTTAATTGCTCTTGTGGATTGACGGAGTAGTCCCTGCTGCCCGAGGGGGGGTTCGGAGTCTGTGAGGGGTATTGAATTGGAGCAGGGAAGGACACGCAAACGAAACTGTTTGTTTTTTTTTGTGGTTTTCGGACAACAGGGGTAGACTGCAACGGGGGGCCCCCGGGGGGCCAGGGCAGCCGGGTGGAAAATTCGGCGCCCTAAAAGGGGGATTTTTTTCTATTTTTTCTTTTGAATTTTCTTCTCAGGACTCTGCGCGCCCCCTTGGAAGGATTGCCCGGCGCGGGGGCGAGAGCGCCGATTCCTGGCAATGTGGGCCGCCGCTTGCGCTCCCTCCCTGCCTCCCGCTCTCCCTCCATTGGCATTGCCATTATCATCGCCCTTCAGACACCCGCAGGGTCGCGTCGCCCTGTCGCGAGGCGGCCGCTTGACCGGGAGTGCACCTGGAGAGCACCTGGAGAGTCCGATTCTGTGCAATGTTATTGGTTTTGTACGATTATACAATCTTCGTATGTTCCGGCGCCCCACTGAATTTGGTGCGGATTTCGTGAGCTCGATTCTGAGATCGATCGTGGATTTTGAAATATATCTTAAGGTCGACCGTGGAATCGACAGTGAGATCGATAGTGATATTGATCGTGAGATCGATCTTGAAATCGACAGCGAAGCTATTGGAGACCTCCCAAAACCTCCAGAACCCTCCAGAACCCTCCCATACCTCCTAGCCCCTCCGCGCTCCCCCTAAAACCTCCACAACTCCCCATACATCCGAAACCCTCGCACTGCTCCCAAATCCTCCGGAACCCTCCCACCCCCCCTAAATTTTCGGAAGACTTCCCAAAACCTCCAGAACCCTCCAGAACCCTCCCATACCTCCTAACCCCTCCGCACTCCCCCCACCCCCCACCCCCATGCATCCGAAACCCTCGCACTGCTCCCAAATCCTCCGGAACCCTCCCAACCCCCCTAAATTTTCAGAAGACTTCCCAAAACCTCCAGAACCCTCCAGAACCCTCCCATACCTCCTCCCCCCACCCCCCACCCCCATGCATCCGAAACCCTCGTTCGCACTGCTCCCAAATCCTCCGGAACCCTCCCACACCCCCTAAACTTTTGGAAGACTTCCCAAAACCTCCAAACCCTCCAGAACCCCCCCCTACCTTCTAACCCCTCCGCGCTCCCCCCAAAACCTCCACAACTCCCCATGCATCCGAAACCCTCGCACTGCTCCCAAATCCTCCGGAACCCTCCCAAACTCTTTCTACTTTCGGAGGACTTCCCAAAACCTCCAGAACCCTCCAGAACCCCCAAGTCCTCTCCACCCCTCCGCCCCCCGCTTCCAGAGCCCTCGGAGTGCGGTGGATTCAGGGAGAGGGAATCGGCCTCGCTTGCACTCTTGGGACAAGTTGCATCGGTTTTCCCGCTCCGACCCAGACAGGTTTTGGGGCAATCTTGGGCCATTTGGCAGTTCCAGCGCCTGTTTGGGTTGTCTTGGGAATGTCGTCGATGTCCAGTTGGTGGGCATACCTTTCCCTCCCCCTCCCTCCCCCTTCCTCTGACCAGTCGGTGCTCGCAGGCACGTTGAGACTCACGTCCTGTGGTGCTCTGTAGCTGTTGCGGTGCTCTGAGGTCCTTTCGAGTTCTGTGGTGCTCTGAGGCTGTTGCGGTGATCACCAGCCTTGTAGCGCCCACAGGCGCTTCGGCTCAAGCCGTTCTTACTTAATGGGCTCTGAGGTGCTCTCAGGCTTTGAAGTGGTGCTCACAGCCGTCCTGGTGCTCATGGCCATTGGTGCTTAAAACCACTGCAGCTGCCTTGTGGCTCAAGTCTTATAGGGAGAACCGTGCGGACCTTGGCACCTGTCACTGGGAGCACCGTGCACTGCAATGCTCACAGACCCCTCTATGCCGAGGCGCCGCTTGCGGCAGAAGACGGACACGGGGCACGTGGTGCCGTCTCCCCCAGTCCCGTCCGCAGGCGTGGACGCCGAGGCCGTCGAAACCAAAGCCATCCGGGACGCCTTGAAGGCCGTCTTAGTAGGCAAGGACTTGAAACACATTTCGTTGCGTGAGTGTCGCCGCCAGGTCGCTTTGAAACTCGGTTTGCAAGAGCATGCTTTGGACCAACGCAAGCACGAGTTCAAGAGCCTGACAACCGGGTCGTTTCGGAAACGCAGCCCGACCAGGACGCCGCGTCGCCTCTGGAGACCGTGTTGGCTGAGGCCGAGAAACTGGACTCGTTGCAGTGGGTATACTTGGTGACCATATCGCGCGTCCTGGACGCGACCCTTCCCGACGGCCGCCAGTGCCGCGATCTTGGCACGATGAGCCGGGAGGACATCGGAAAAGCAGTGGCCGACGCATTCAACAATCCGATTCCGACTGGGTCCGCGGGCGGCCGCACTAGGCAGGAACCGGACGGCCAAGCGCTCGTGTCCATGGCGGTGGTGTTCCAGGAGAAGCACAAAGACGGCGCGATCCATTTCCACGTTGCTGCGAAGCTGACTAGGTCGGGCCGTTTCCAGCAGGCCAAGCGCACTCTGCGCGAGCGCCATTTGTTGCCGAGCCATTTCTCTGGTTCCCACCAGCGAATGTGGAGCGCCGTGAGGTACGGGTATATGGAGACCCCAGCCAAACCAGATGTCGACGACGCCCCGTGGGTGTGGCAGCCAGACTGGGCCGGGTTCGCGCGCGAGAACGACGCCATCGACCTCTTCGAGATGTCGCAGGAGCCATACATGGCAGGCGTGTGGGTGAAGCGCCGGGAGGCCACGGACAAGGCGGCCGGGGCGATGGGCACGAAGACGACGTTCGACCTCGTAGACTTGACTTCGACCATCATCGCCAAGCACTTGTGGACGAAGGGCAGCCTGATGGCGTACGTCCAGGACCGCGGGACGAAGGCCATGCAGCGGTTCGTCCGCAGCCGAGTGCGCAAGCTGACGGCGGACCTTGAGGAGACGAAGGAGTGGGCGTCTGCCCGCGAGAACGCGGCCTTCGAGGCGGTGGACGATTGGACGCTCGTGTGCCGCTGCGCTGAGGAGACATGTCCCCATGGCCCGGCGTGCTCGTGCAGGTCAGCCGTGGAGACCATCTTCTCCCGCAACGCCGCTTCTTTCGACGTTCGGGAGCTCGCGGCGTCTCTGCGGGACATTCTGATGGTCGGCCCGAAGAAGACGACGGGGGTGCCCTTCCTGGTGGGGCCGTCGAATTCCGGGAAGAGCACGGTAGTTTACCCTTTCGACGACTTGTTCACTCCGAAACGGGTTCTGCACAAGCCTGCCTTGGGCTCCTCCTTTGGACTCCGGAACCTGGCCAGCGGCACGAAGCGGTTCATCTTCTGGGACGACTTCCGGCCGGTTGAGTTCGCCCACGAGAAGACCGTCCCCGTCTCTTTGTTCTTGTCTCTGTTCGTCGGCCAGCACACCGAGATCCAGGTTTCCCAGTCCTTCAACGACGGGAACAAGGACGTCTGCTGGAACCACGGCGCCGTTTTCACGGGCAAGCTGGAGGGCCTCTGGGAGACGACGAATAAAGTGGGTGCGGAGGACATCCGGCACATGCAGAACCGCGCGAGGCAGTTCCCATTCACCTCCGTCTTGTCGGACGGCTCCTTGAAGGACGTACTCTCGTGTGCTCCGTGCACGACCGCGTGGATCGTCCGGGAGGCGGCAAAGTTCGACGCCGTCGGCGTTTTCCGCCCGGCGCCCGCTGCGCCGGTCGGGGCAGACGCGGGCGCGCCGCCTGTGAGCGGCTTCGACGACCTCATGTCCGACGCGCGCATGCCCCGCGCGCAGGCAGACGCCTTGCTGGCGGATGTCCGCGCGATGGGTGCGGTTGCCGTGGACGAGGTGCTCCCCGCGGACTGGGCCCGTCTGAATTCGTGGGCCTTGCTGCCCCGCTCCAGAAGCGCAGACGTCTTGGGCAAATCGGCTCTCCGGTTTCGCCCCGAGGGGGCGCGCGGGCAGCGCCGGGGGCTTCCCCCCAGCGCTCCGCCCCACGTCTTTTGCATGCTCGCGAGGGTGCGCGTGCGGTTACCGCTGGCGAAGTCCAGTTGGGTTGCGCACGCCCGCCTCTCAGCTTTTGCGCTTCCGGAAGCACGCGCGCGCGGGCGCCGCTGACCAAGCCCACTTGGTTTGCGAGCGCCCGCCTGTCAGCTTTTGCACCCCCGTGAGCACGCGCGCGCGGGCGCCGCTGGCGCCGCCCAGCGGGGTTACGCGCGCGCGCGCGTGGCACCCGGCAGCGCATCCATCGTCTTTGCGCGGAAATGACGCCTCGAAGGGGTAGAAGTGCGAGACGAGGTAGACAGGGCAGAGTGGACGGAAGCTGCAGGGGAGAGTAAAGAGGGCCATCAGCGTTGCGTCGCCACCGGACGATTCCGCACGGGTAGCGCCGCGTGAATAGCCTCGGATTGCGTGGCGGCGTGAATGCATGCATGCACGTACGTGCATGCATGGGTGTATGCACACATAGGGGAAAGGCAGATGGATGTGCAAATAGGGTGTACATACACACTTATGTATGCACGTGTATATATACATATATATATATATATATATATATATCCACATACAACATATAAGTATGGGAATATACCTATATATACATACACATGTGTGTGAATGTACAGCGCTGTGTCACTATAAGACGCTCGTGGGGGGCACCGCCGTTTGCGAAATAAGCGCCCATCTTAGGGATCGAAAACAAGACGACGAAGCACGCCCCCTTTCCCCCGTATTTCAAGGTTGACGGGGAGGGCTGGGCAGTCCAACATAAGTGGGCGTTTATTTCGCAACGCTTCGCACTCCCCTTCGGCGTGTTCGGTGGCCAACATTGAAATGCGGGGCGCGGGGCGGGGATCCCGGTACTTCCACGCGTGGGCGTTTATTTCGCAAACGGCGGTAGTATAATTCACCATCGTCGTATGACCCTTCATGTTATTAATATGATGGTTCCTATTGCTAGTACAAGCTGATTATTACGATTGTTCAGATTACGTTTCGTCTTCATATTCGCATCCTTCTTAGTTGTCATTTTTTGTTATCAACATATTTGGTGCTCCTCTTCATGTGTGTTCCATACTCTGGTTCTCAACATTACGATCATTACTATTAGTACGTATTCGAGTTCTTCCTCCTCCTGCCTTTCCTCCGCCACCTCCTCAGATTCCTCCTCTTCCTCCTCATCCCCCTCCCCCTCTCACTCCCCCCCCCCTGCCCCCCCCCCCTTCCCCCCCCTCCCTCCTCCTCCTCCTCCTCCTCCTCTCCTCCTCCTCCTCCTCCTCTCCTCCTCTCCTCTCCTCCTCTTATACAATTACTCAATATGAATACTACTTACTCTCCTTCTTCCCTGATGGCGGACTGGGAGTAGCCGACCCCCCCCCCCGCGTACTGTTTTTCCTTTACACTGGTTTCCCCAGAGTTGGGTTTTCGCCTGCATTCTTTCCAAAATGCTGCTCTCGCTGAGGCGCCAGCCTCATTTTCGGGCCCCGCTCGTTCCGAGTCGTGTTCCCGCTGCAGCGCTGGCCTCGCCCGGGCTGCACGCCCGAGCCGGCGCCCGGGCCGGCGCTCGGGCCGCCGGGTCCAGAACCGGCTCCGCGAGGCGGCGCCGAAAAAAAGCCATTCTAATACACATTTTTCTTTGAAAATGCTAAATTTCTGCTTCCGGCGCCCGGGGGCCTCCCGGGCCGATTCCGACGCCCGGGCTCTTGGGAGGAAGCCCGCCTCAGTAACAGTTACGCTGGTTGTAAGAACTGAACAACCCCATGGCAAACACTAGCAACATCCTAACAACATCTAGCAACACACCTACATCACTTGCTATGTGTCTGTAAATACATACAACACATTAGCATGTTAGGTCAACTTACGTAAGTAGTTGGCAAGTCCGAGCTCACGGCGGTTGCTAAGTGTTACATAAGCTGACCGTCCAACATAGCATAGGTTGGCTCTCTTGGGAAGACTTGGGTAAGTCTGTGTAAGGCAGTTAGCTAACTGTGTTAGCTAAGTGAGTTAGTGGGTTAGCTAAGTGAGTTAGCAACACTTAGCCCCAAGCCAAAAGGCCCCCGAGAGGCCCCCAACGCAACGCTCCGCCTTGCCCATTTTGGCTCAATGTGTGTTTCGGCCTCCGGCTTTCGCATCCTTTGGAGCTGGGCCCCGAGGATCTTCGATCATGGCGCTGGTCGAGCGCGCCCTGGGCAAGGTCAGGGCGGAGCTGCAGCACATCGTCGCCCGCTTCCACAGCGACGGGCAGGTGATCATGGCCTGGGGCAGCATCTTAGATGTGCTGAAGCCCAGGCCCCAGCTGCTCAGGACGACGACGGCGGCGGCCTCCCGCGTCGGCGTCAGCCCCGGCAACCGCGGACGCTTCGGTTTCGAGGTGCGTGGGGAGAATGTGACATCGGGGAGGTGAGAGGATGGGGGAGGGAGAGGAGGGGGGGGGGAAGAGGAGGAGGACGAAAGGGAGGAGGAGGAGGAGCTGGAGGAGAAGGAGGTGGAGGACGAGGAGGAGGAGGAGGAGGAGAGGGATGGCCTCAGAGAAAGGGATGAGTAGAAGAGTGAGAAGGTGAATGAGAGGGCGAGGAAAGGATGAGAAGGAGGAGAAGAGGGAGGAGGGCTGAGCAAGGGCGAGGAGACTAGGAGGAGGGCGAGTGAGAGGAATGATGAATGCTACTAGTGATATTGGATGCGGGCCTGTTTTCACTATCCACCCTCCCAGGTTGCCAAGAGCCTCAGCAACCTCGGCAAGCACTGCAGGGCCGGCTGGAGCTACTCTCGCGCGTCCTGCGGTTCGTTCGCGGTTGAGGTGCCGAGAGGAACTCCAGAAGGTGAGAAGTGGGTGGACTTCAACCACCACCTCAGCGTCCACACGACGTCATGGAGCTCGCAAGCTTCGGCGGCACGCACTGCAACGTAGCCATCCGTGCGATCAGCTGCAAGATGACATGCAGCGACGAGTTCATTGCACCATCGGGCTACTTGGACGAGGAGTACATGTGCCAGAAGTGGCCCACCTTGCGCGACGCTCTCAACAGGGGCCTCGAGTGGCAGGTGCTCAACTACGCCATCGCGCAGGAGTTCCCAGATGTGCTGTGCATAGGCGTGAGCGCCCTCAACGGGAAGGGCGCGTCTGATGTGTCCGAGCTGGAGGGCTTACTCACCACGCACTCCTCCTTCGCGCGGGCCATGGCGACCAACGGCGACGAGAAGGTCGCGCGGGGCGCGGCCATGGAGGAGAGCCTGCTCACCAACCCGTTCTGGAAGGACTGGGCCTTGCAGCTGCGCTAGTTCGCGCACGCAGTCCCGCAGGAGCAGATCGCGGAGGCGCGCGACATGAAGACCGCGGTCTTCAAGGCTCTGCACGGCAGGGAAGAGGAAGTGGAGGCGGAGGAGGAGGAGGAGGAGGAGGGGGAGGGCGAGGAGGAGGAGGAGGAGGAAGAGAGGAGGAGGAGGAGGAGCGGTGATAAGGGGGTTGCCTCGGGCAGAGGGTCGAGGGCCCTAAGAATGAGAATGCAGGGCCGAGGATCGCTGACGAGGACGAGGGCTGCGGCCCTCCATCCTCGATCCTCGGCCCGAGTAGCCCCATCAGGTCGCACTCTCCGAATCCGAGTGCCGATGGCCTCCTTATCATGCGTTCCTCCTCCTCCTCCCCCTCCTCCTCCAAGTGTCCATTCCCCACAGGTTCCCCGCGGCGCCTCGGCCACGTTCGGCCACATCGGCGGCTCTTGTTTCGAGAAGCTTGCCAACCTGTCGTGGCCGTCGCTCGTTGTACCTCTGCAGCGAGCGCGCGCGGCTGCGCTCTGGGCGCAGCTCAGCTCGCCAATCGACAAGGTGGTCGACGGCAAGGCTGGGCTCACTCGCGACTCTGATCTCGGCAAGCTGCGCAACAAGGCCACTCTGGACTCGGCGCACAAGGCTGAGAAGATGATGGAGGACGCCCGAGACATGTGCGTCGCGCATGGCATCAGCCTGAGGTCAAAGCTGCAACTCACCTGCGAGAACGACATGCGCCTAGTCGTGCACCTCTTGTGGAAGGACAAGAGCAGCCGCGAGGGCAAGGACTTTGCCACGTTGGAGGAGGCCACCAAGGTATTAATCGACGCGCTCGCCGACATCAAGGGGCAGCCGATCGACAACCCGCGGATCAACCGCCGCCGGGCGACCCTCAAGCAAGAGCCCAAAGTGATTCCTGGATGCGCACGTTCCGACTCCGTCGAAATTCAGCATTGCCCAAAAACCGGCCTGTTTGGCACGGGCGATGGGCGATGATGACGATGGTGATGATGAGGGGATGGAGGGGGAGGAGGTGGGGGGAAGCAACGGGAAGTAGGAGGAGGAGGGGGGGGGGGGGAGGGGGGGGGGGGGGGGGGGGGGGGTGGGGGGGGGGGGGGGGGGGGGGGGGGGGGGGGGGGGGGGGGGGGGGGGGTGGGGGGGGGGAGGGGGGGGGGGGGGGGGGAGGGTGGGGGGGGGGGGGGGGGGGGGGGGGGGGGGGGGGGAGGGGGAGGGGGAGAAGGAGGAGGAGGAAGAGGAGGAGGAGGAAGAGACATAGGAAGAGCTTTTTCATCACTGAAGGCGCGATCCGCGTCGGCAGCGCCGACTCGGAACGCCGCTCTGCTGCAGCAGGTGGAGATGCCACCCCCCAAGGCGAGCGTCGCCGCGCAGCAGATGTCAGACGTGAAGTCTGCGGCCTACCAAATTCAGCGGCTCGGGTACAAGGTCGGCTCGATCATCAAGCCGCGGAAGGCCGGCCAGAACAGCAGCGCCTGCGCGCTGTGGATTATCAAGGAGATCGGCGAGGCCATCGCCACGAAAGCACCGACAGGAGTCCACGCAAATGGCGAACCTCTCGCGCTCGCGCTTGGTAACCTGAAGGACCTGCGGGTGCCCGCGACGGCCAAGCCTCAGGAGGTGCTGACGTTTAGCAACATGCTGCCGTCGCCGAACACCAGCTGGCGCATCGAGCACGTGAAGTCTCAGATTTGTTTGTGCCTCACTGCAGCGAGCGAGGAGTCCGAGACAAAGTTCGCGGGGCTCAAGATCTACACGAATCCGTTCGCCCTGCAAGCGCTGCAGGACTTCGACCCGAACGCTCTCGCGATGTCGCCTGTCACTCAGCTTGCGAAGCACAGGGGGCCCGAACACTGCAGCCCCTGATGAGGCTGTCGACCTAGGAGCCCTCATGAGCAAGCCCCCGACGGCACCCCACTTGATGCCGCAATTCGTCACGGGGAAGCAGAGTGGCCAGAACTTCGTCAGCACATTCTTCTGCGTGCCCACAGACAAATCCCCGAATATGTCCAGGGTCAAGGCTTCGTGCGACATTCAGCTCACGATGCACCCTGGCGACACCCCTGAGCATTTTGCTATCCAGCTTCCAGTGTTGAAGAACACTGCTAAAGTGAAGGCAGGCACATTTTTGTCCCAAGGGTGCGCGCAGAAGCGCACTCGCGTTGGCCCTGACGTCAACGAACAGTCACCCGCGAAGCGTGGGCGCTGAACTTTTCGCGCGTGATGGCGCAACCATTGTGTGATATGCTGTTTCCTGTGCGCAGGCAGAAGCTTGTGGTTCGCTTCTCGTCAATAAGTATGTTCACACTGTTTGCATGAACTGTAGATCGCTCAAGTCACCGCTCGCACGCATCGCAGGCTAGCTGCGATGAAACTCGAGCAGGCTGAAGATGAGGCTTGGGTAGAGGAGAGGGAGGATTATGGAAATGAGGATGAGGAGGATGTGAAAACCGAGGGGCGGAGCGGATGATGACATGACAAATACGGGGGGAGACAGTGCGAATGCTCGGGAAGACGCGAACTCAGTTTGAATGTATTTCCGAGGCGAGCAGCCTCCACGCATTTGATCAACCAGCCATGGCGCTGGAACCCGATGGCTAACCAACGGAGGCAACGGCCCCTGTCGGTGGCTGGAGTTTCGCCAGCGCTTCGCGCGCATCAGAGATCCCAAAGACTGACAGCCCTTCCTCCGATGTGCTCCCCCCTCTCGTGTGGATCATTCTCCGTGCTCTGACAAACTCCCGAGAGGCTCCGACACGACCCAACATGTTTCCAAGACAAGCCAAAGGACGTGCCAAAGCCAACCAAGACAAACCCATGACGACTTAAACAAACGGTTTCCAAAACAGCCCAAGACGCTACAACGCGCATTCGTCTTCGGAGGGTGGATCAATACTCGGTAAGGCAATAAGGTAGACATGTCCTAAGATAAGAGACCCTGGATTCGTACCCACGCCATGGGCCTTAATTTACCCACCCACCCCCCTCCCCCATGCTTCATCCCCACCATCGCGCAGCATCCTCCCCCCCCCCCCCCCCCCCCGCACACACACACACACACACACACACACACACACACACACACACACACACACACACACGCACACACACACACACACCACAACAATGTCACCATCCACGTTGCCATCGACCCAAGGGGGGAAGGGGGCAAGAGACATCACCACATCATGCAAGACATCGCCATCACACGTACCGCCATTTCGGCAAGAGGCCAAACTTCGAGGCTCACACTGTGTGTTCCGCTTTCTTTACAGTAAGCTTGCTCCTGCGATGGCCCCCAAAGCGTTGGAGTGCCCTCGCACCGCTTCTTTGAAAGAAGTCATCTTCACAAAGGCTGTGAACATCAGCAGCCCATTTGGCCATGCCTCGTGGGATGTCGAAGTACTATGTGTCGGGCGCCAGGAGTTCGTGCAGCTCAAGCGCGGCGACAAGAAGATGCAGGACTGGCTGCTTCGCACCAAGGTGTACTCCACGATCGCCTCCACACGCATTGACGAGCTCATCGAGCTCCAGTCGTCAGCCAGCAAGGGAGAACTCGGAGGTGACGCTGAGACGGGCGATGTCACCTCGTTCCGCCGCAAAGCTGGCGCCTCGGCTCTGAAGCGGCTCCAGGAGGGCCACGAGAGCTCGTTGGTCTCCGTCGCGCTGCCGTCCTTCAAGACTCCTCTCGACGAGACCGTGCCCGATGTCAAGACAGCGATGCCACATAACATCGCGCCCAGCATGGCGATGATCCCCCTCGACCCCAAGGTGCTCCAGTGGGCGTTCCTGAGGGCTCACACCCTCGAGCGCCCTTCCAAGAGGAGCTACGTCAAGGCGCAGGACAAGACTGAGAAGCCTGCAGCGATCAAGCGCCTCAAGGCATCGAGCAGGCAGTTCGCGGGGCCTGATAGTGACACCGAGGCGGCTGCCGATGGAGATGACAGCGCTGCCGCTGGCTCTGAATACAAGGCTCCCTGAGCCCCCTTGTTTCTCTAGGATTTGGAATGAGTTCGCTGCTTTAGCAGCGCCCCAGGAGGAGGAGGAGGAGGAGGTAGGTACGAGGAAGAAAAGGGAGGAGGGATGGATAATGAGGGAAGGATGGAGGAGGGAATGCTGCTCAGTCCCTGTCACGACATGCCTTGACAAGGCATGGCAACTTCTGTCCAGTGCGCTTGCAATCGCGCATGCGTGGCGCTGCTAGTCGCGCGTGCGACGGATACCCACATAAGCATCAACACCAGCATCACCATCGTTGTCATCATCGTAACCGTTCTTGTTGAGGCCTACGCAACAACTGCACAATCCCGTCTAGCTTCGGGGCTGGGGTTGTGCATTTGGATGGGAAGGTTAAGCGAGACGCTGCCTCGGATCATCTTCACTACGGCTGGATTGACCTTTCCCTCGCTGTGATACAAGCGTGATCCTGACTTCCCATCCGTCGGTTGGCTCTTCAGGCTATCGTCGTCTCGGCTGGATTCGCCTCTCCCTCGCTGTGGTCACAGCGCGATCCCACCCCCCCAACCGTACTTGGGCTAATCGGGTTGGCGTCGTCACGGCTGGATTTGCCTCTCCCTCGCTGTGGTCGCAGCGCAACCCCGGCCCCCCAACAGTCTGTCTGAGTACCGTCTCGAGCGCGTGCTGCTGGCGTCTAAAGACCCCGATATCCGAAGGAACCAGTGCCTTGGTGGTCTCGATTGCATGTATCTGAAGGAACTTTCGCTTAGGACCGACCTCACTTTCTAAAATGAGAAATTGGCACCAATTTCTCATTTGAGAAATTGGGGTTGGTCCGGAACGCCCACAATTTCTCAAATGAGAAAGTGGGGTTATTCCAGGCGGACCTCGATTTCTCGAATGAGAAATTCAGGTCGTCTAGTGGCAATCTCAATTTCTAAAATGAGAAATTCAGGTCGTTCGGTGTCAACCTCAATTTCTAAAATGAGAAATTGATGTAGTTTCCATATAATTTAGTAACAACTGTGAGATCAGTGCTTCAGACCTTGCATGGACAGAATACTTGAGATGATGTAGAGTTGAAATGCATCGGCGAAGCCACCGCAGCCAGCAGCCGCTCCAGCTGGTCAACAGTTTGTTGCTGCCCTCGCTGAGTTCGACAAGGGCAAGGACGCCCCCAACGAGGCAGCTGAAGCTGAGCAGAGGGTCAAGGAGATCGAAGACGAGCACGCTGTTATGCTCGCCAAGGCGAAGGCCAAGGCCAAGCAGTCTAAGGTCAAAGCAGCGGACACCACTGACTCGAAGTCTGCCGTGGCGGCTGCTTCAGCGGCGGCTGCACGAGCTGAAGAGCTGGGCGAAGACTGCCCAGCTCTCGATGGTGAGGAGGACCTCGTGACCGCACCAGCCCCATGGGGAAGGCCAAGGCTAAGGCCAAAGGCAAGGCCAAGGCCAAGGCGTTTCCTAAAGCTTCCAAGAACTTCAACGGGCCTGCCAACGGAGCAAGCGTCGGCCCACCTCGTAAGAGGCCAGCGGCTGCCGCTGCCTTGCCCGATGCGAAGCGCCCTGCCGTGCCCGTTGTGGGCTCTGTAACTTACCTCTCAGGCAGGGTGTCTCACTCAGCTTCTAGGAACGGATGGAGGGTCTGGCCAGACATCGCACGCAGGGGCGCCGAGAAGACAGTCCCGCATGGCGATGAACCCGCCAAGTCTTTCCAGGAAGCTCTCAACATTGCGAGCGCGCATTGGCGCTCGCGCGCATAGCGCAATTTTGATTTGTTTCGCACCTTGTGGGTGACGTGCACGCCCTGAGCATCAGTACGATTCGTGCCCGTATAGCGCTATTGCAGGGAAGCAGTTAGCCAGCTGAGCTGGGCAAGTTGCTTTTCGCATACGTATCCCGAATTAGACCACGCGATCTTGCGAGGTGAATGTCGCCATCAGTTGCCATATCACATCACCTTTGCCATCATCCATCCAAACTTGGCCCTGTTCACCCCCCCCCAAAAAAAAACGCATACCACGGAAGTGCTAAAGCTCGAGGGGGCCCCGCAGACGCCCCACCCCTAAGGGCGCCTTCAAGACGCCCCACCCCTAAAGAAAATCCAAAGACGCCCTCAACCTCAGGAAACCCTAGCACGGACACCCCAAAGAAGGTATGCAAGAGGTCGCATGGGGCCCAAACATAAGCCCGAATCAAAGTACGAGGTGTCATGATGTTGTACGTGTTGCATGTTGCCCAATAGGATACACTAGTTCCCTTAAGGCTCCCAAGCAAAACATTATGTAGTGCATGTGAGCAGCGTGTAACAATACAGTCAACATAGCAAATGGCCGACGTGCAGGCCCATGCAGCTTGTCTACGCAGCAGCACAGCGCATTCGCAGCATAAGGAAAGAGAGACACCTAAATGCCTCCCACCCTTCTGCATTATCCACCCCCTATACCACAAAATCTGGTTCTGCAATGAAAGCAAACATCCCCATGTGCCCGCCCCCCCCTCCATCACCGCGGTTCCGTCCTCCTCCTCCTCCCGCAGCCGTTTTGGCAGAAGTGCAGTTTTGGACCGATGGAGCGGGCTGCAAAGCTTCGCAGGATTTCCGAGATCCGACACCAGCTTCCCCACACAAGTAAGGTAGCCCTTGCTGCGTTTATCAAGCTGGCCAACACGCCTGAGATCCCCGGTGCATGCTCTACGGCAGACATCCGCGCAGCCAGGGATCAGCAAGCCTTCCAGAACACACCATACGGGCCTGCGATGTGCACAGCGCACATAGAGAACACCGAGGGGAACCGCATTGCTGTTGACATTGCAGATCCAGTGCCGTACTTGCACGCCCTTGGCAAGTGCAGTCGGTGGCGATATTTCCTCGAGAGGGCGAACCAGCATGCGCCCTGCTCGATTGACAATCCTTGGAACATCACATTGTATGGGGACGAGACAAAGCCTGGGAACAAATCGAAGCAATGGAACAAGCGGGCAACACAAAATATAGACATGTCATTTCTTGAGCTCGGCGCAGCAGCGCTCTGCAAGGAGGACGCGCGGCTGTGCATCGGTGTTGTGCGATCTGTGGATGTAGCAGAGTGCGAATCTGGGATGGCTCAGCTGGCTGGTGAAATTCTCATCGGGATGTTCGCTCCGAACGGCCGCGACTTGAGATATTCTGGTGTCCACTGTGACTATGATGACGGGCAGGGCTTCCGCATCCACGCCACGTTGGGGAACGTCTTGGGGGGCGAGGCGGCCTTGCGC